AGGTAATATACTTATTTTGTAGAAATTTATCTATGTTTAGGTCACTACCTTGTTCTACAGCTTCATTTGAATCTATTGTTTGTACTTTGCCCTTATTATAAATTTTATTTGAGGAAAAACTGGACTCTTTCTCCTCATATCTATCTTGATCAACTAGTATGATATTTTAGAAGCGGTTAGCCCATTCTGACCCTCCTCTTCTTTGTTAACTAAATCTTAATTTGTCTTCAAGCTTGGCAATTCTTCCATTCAGTTTTTCCAGGTTTGTCAATATGAGCTTTAGTGGGTCTTACTTATCTTCAAACTCTGGTTCATTATATTGTCTTCTATTTTGGTTTTCTGATGGACTTCTAAGATTTTCCAATGGTATCCTATTACTTTCTGTTGCTAGATGGTCTAGGGTTCTATGGTATCTTTATAAGATATTACCATTTTGACATTAATACCTCTTTTCCTTTGATTAGTTGATCACTTATATTCAATGGTTGTATTAGAGCTTATCGATTCACTGTTTGATAATGAATTTGATATAGGTTCAGTATTCGTTTTTACTGTTCTATGCCCTAGTCTTTCTCTTAATCTTTCAATTCTAGGTTTAGGACCCATTATAGTTTCTCCTATGGCTTTTACACTTCAGGATAGTCTTAGTCCCTATAGAAAAATATATTGCTTGCAAGCTTTTGTCAGTACTTCTTTTATTGCAAAACATATTATTGTAAAGTTTTATTTTTTCAACGTATAAGGATTTCTTGGTATATAACAGGCTTTAGCTTCTATATTATTAAGCACCCTGGCTACCAAACTTGAATGTATTCTATTTGTGCCTAAGAGCCTGGCTGAGTATTTGTTTCATTTAATCAAAACTTCATTTATTTCTTTATTAGTCAATTTTTCTTTAGTGAGGATTGTTTTTATCATTTCTATTTCAAGTGGTGTCATCCATATTTTTTCAAAATTGGTTTTGAAGTGTTTATGCCACTTGAGGTAAGCCTTTACTCTGGTTTTTGTTTTTACCTTATAGATATTGATGTTTTTAACATTTCAATATCTTTTTAGGTGTTCTTTTATATAGTTTTTGGAGAGTTTATGATCCACATCCATTAGACTTACATACCATATGTCTTTGCTCTCTTCTAGATTGTGGTTCGAAATATTTTTTTCTTCATCTTGTCTATAGCTAATTGATCTATGTGTTTTTCTTTTCCTGGTTCTAATTGTTGGAGACTAAAGACTTTTTCCTTTCTGTTTACCTCTTCTAAGTATTTAAGGAAATCTTCTTCTTCTTTAAAGTGGAGAATCAGCTATTCATTGCTATTAATAAAACTTTTATAAAGAAGGTTCATTTATCCTGAGATAATTTTAAGGCACTGCATAGATAGGCTCTAGATTTTTTTTCTAAGCTTCCTAAAATGTTTGCTGTCATGGCTTCTAATTGATATGCTCCTTTTTTACTTATGTAGTATAGATTTGAAGTAGAATTTATAACTCTATTTTTTGTACTATATAAGCTATATTCATTTATATTTTGTCATTTGATCTTTTCTCTCAGTATTTTGAATTCTATTTTCTCTTCTATCTCTTCTTGTTCTTGAATATTAGACATTGTGATCTCATTGTCTACTGTTAGATCATTTTTTACCTAAGTAATGATCTCTATAGGAAGGGTTTTTATTTTTTTGATATATCTTTTTTTTTTTGATAACTTCAAGAAGTTCATTTTTGATATACAGCTGAAGCAGATCCTCTTATTTTCCTTTCTCAAGCTGTCAAAGGTAGGTTATATGTGTATTAGAATTCATTCTTTATAAAATATCATCTTGTCTACTCCTAAGATACTTGCAATAATACTATTAAGTATTATACAGGTTTCTAGGACTGATGCTTCTTCTCCTACTTAAATAATGGCTTGCTCCTATTTGGCTATTTGTTGTGTAGCCTATAGTTCATTATGTTTGTCATACTTTCTTGCAAGTCAAATTAGAGTATCAATAATATCCTTTTCTCTATTATCTATTATTTGTATTGTACATATGAAGGGTAGCTAATAGGAAATAAATTATATAATATTGTTAAAGTCACATGGGACCGAAAAATCTTTTGCATGTTTTGCTTCTTGTTTTAGTAATTCCCTATTTTATTTTGTGTCTTGATTTTGTTTTGATCAAACATATGTTGTTTATTCCTTCTTTATCTAGTTTGTTTATTTGTTTATACTAGTTTATAATATTGTATTATAGATTCTTGCTGTTTTGTTTATGTCAATCACGTCCTGTGATGATATTGTGATTAAGGATCTTGTCAAATCTATTCACTTTTATTGTGTTATTGTGATAGATTTTTGTTAAACTTGTTTTGACAACAGGTCTATACATGTGTATGTGTTTACATTACTCTGGCTAGGTATTTTGATATTTGCAAGGTGAAATATACACATTAGGCTGTTTAGATTTTAGGAAGCTTTGATGTTCTTCTGGGTCTTAAGAAATTTAAGGTTTGTTTGATTTATCGAGCAAATCTACTTTTTTTAAGATTCCTTGTAATATCAAGAAAGTTGTTAATTTGTACTGGCCTGGTTGCAAGTACTGTAAAGTTGATATTGGTTTCCCTTTTCTGACTGTGAATCAGTTTATATTAGTTTCTTTTCTTCTTCTTAAAAAAGGAGAAAAGGTCAAAATTATTGCTGTATATATATTTTTCAATAATCTACTGCTCTAGGGCTATGCATGAAATGTTGTTTTGTGCTAAGATAACTGTTGTATCAATTTCAATTTATTATAATAAGATTTTTGAAATTGATATATTGTATATAATATAATACAAAATTTTAACTTGAATTAAAACAAAAAATAATAAAAAAATTAATAAAAACTTATTTTTATATATTTGTTATTTAAATTTTAATACTTAATTAAAGTTTTTAAAATTAAAAAAAAATTTTATTTTTTATTATTTTTTTTTTTTAACCCACAATCAGGTCAGCATGACTTGTTTTTATTGTATATACAGTATAACAAATATTTACAAATTATTTTGATTTTCATATATTAACTTACCTGTCATCAAAAAACTATTTTTTTAGATATAACTTAGGGAATTATATTTGCTCCTTTACTGACTTGGATAAATCCTCTAGTCAATAAAATCATTGTCTACAGGTCATTACTGTAGATTAAAAATTTTTTTTTGTATTTAGATTAATGATTTATATTATAAATTGATTATTATATATCAAGCTACAGTAATAACCTATAGGCAATTTTATTAGTAGATGAAAAAATTTTTATTTAACTTGTTAATGGAGCAATAAATTACTTCTATAGTTATACTTAGAGTTTTATGAATTAAGATAAATGAGTTTATTAAAAGATAAGTTTAGTAATATATAGATTAATATATAATATACAATTGTTTAATAAAGTACACATAACTAGCCTGATAAGAGATTTATAAAAAATTTTTTTATTCAAATTCTAATAAATTTTAATAAAGTTTTAGATGCCTTAACAAAGTTTTAAAATATCATTATCTTATTAAATATTATAGAACAACTTTAATAAAATGTCTTTTTAAAAATTTTAAAAGAAAATCAATAGGGTTTTTTGGTTTTGTAATATATTATAAAACTCGTATAATTGATAAAAAACGATATAAATTCTACAAGTACTAGAATATATAATTATGAGAAAAAAATAATTATATCATAGTTATTTTATAAATGATCAATAGAATTCAATGATTCTTTTTAAGCTAAAATATACTTTATCTATGATATAATAAAAATCATTTAATTTTTATATTTGAGCTTAAGAAAAAAATATGCATTAAGGCATATTGATGATAAATAAAATTAATTTAAAGAATTACGGTATATAACGATTCTTAAAATATCATTTATTTTTTTAAAATCATAAAAAATTGATATTTCTGTTATTTGTTATAAATCAATTTTTTTCTATCAAGAAAAAAAATGATTTAATTTTGCAAAATCTCGATTTTCATTATTTTAAAACAATGTCTGCTTTTTATTTAAGAGCACGGTCGAAACTTGAAATGGCAAATATAAAGTATGTAGTGTCAGAAAATATTTAACTTCATTATTTATTTTCGTGACCAATAATTGGTTTGACTTAAAGATTAGTAAGAAATGTCGACGGCGTTAATCCTGAATGCAAATGGACATTTAATTTGAAAAATAAATTTGGTAAATAAGACTTGAGCTATTCGGTCAATATTGTCGAATAATTATAGTCTACAATAATAATCACTTTTAGTCATGGCATTTAGCTGTTACACGGAATATTACTGCATTCCAAATCGTTCTAAACTTCGTTGATTAAATACCCAAGTGTATTGGAGGCGGATAAGGGAGGTTGAGATGATCTCATGAGATCAAAGTTTAATCTTTAAAAACTTTCTAATGCGTCGCGCGCATATTACTTTCATGTGTCAGCATCAGCAAACTTAGCATGTATAGAAAAGTTGATTGATTTATTTAGATTCCCAATAAACCGCAAAGTAAAAATGTATTTTCGAGCCGGCTCTTCCTCTAAGATTTATAATATACAAATTTGCTGGTGAAAAATGCGTGTCGAACGAATTTTTCATCGGCTTAAATCTAGATGAATTGTATGCGTGTTTATGAATGATATACAGAAGAGATCTAACTTAAAAATACAGTAATTTACAAAAATTATCGTGTAGCCGAAAAAATGAAATCATCAAGAAATTCATATAAAATAATAATAATAATATCATTTTTAAAATATAATGCTCAGTCATCTCTCTAAAAACTTTATGCTCAGCACAAAGTAAGTTCCTCCTGGGAATGTCTTGTAGTCGGTAATAATGTGATTAGTTCACGAAACACCATGTAATTGGTATACGACCTGCGCCGAGGGGGGCGAGTTGCTGGAATGCTGCGGCTGAAATTGTTTTAAATTAAAGTCAGCAAGTTGAACTTTTGCTACACGCGAAATTAAGTTAGGACAAATCAAAGGGGAATGATACTTACGACTGAAGTCGACGCTGCCTTCTTCACAACCCATACACTCGTCAACAACAGTAGCTATAACAGAATTACCGTTGTAGAATGCCTGGATTTTTTGCCCGCAACTTGGACTATGGTTTGGGTTTCCGTCGGCTGACGCTTGAAATTGTGTGAAAGACAAGGCGCAAATGATATCAGAGTCAGAGTTTGTTTCACCACAAGCACCTAGGCCCGGATTATACCAAGTGCCATCACCGCTGAAAGTTGGAGTCTGTCGGGTGGAGATAGGAGCTGAATGGTAGGAATCGATGTTGAAAGAAAGGAGAATGACAACAACCACGAGGAACATGAACAATTGGGAGGATTTGAAGGCCATTTTTGCGTTGTTTTTTCTTAAATTTGTTTGTGTGTGTGGGAGGTAAGAAGTTTTTTATTTTCAAAATAAAAAATTATCGATTTCTTTCCTTTTCTTTTTTTAACCAAAAAATCAATTTTTAGTCCGCGAGAAAGAAGATATGAAAGTTTTTTTAATTGTTATTGCTTAAGATGCGAAACTGGTACTAAATGCTGTTAATGTTTTTTGAAAATTTGTGAATCAAGGCTCGCTTCGAACACGAATTTTCAAAAAGAAAAAAAGAAAAAGAAAAAGAAAAATGTAGATGTATATTGATAGATCAAACAACGGCAAGCCGTAGTTGAATATTGATGGTAGAGAAGATGAGTGAGTGAGTGAAGTGAGGTTTGGTGGAGGGTGAAACCAATCGTTTATATAGAAAAAAAAACAATGATGTGGAAAGTATTCAGAAGTCGGAATGTGCAGCGCCGCGCGAGTATACAATGCGGCATTGTCAAAATAAGCTTTATTTTAACGCGAATTCAAAAAATTATATTGCTTCGGTGACACAAAACGTGCATTACACGGATGTTACAAGTAAGTTTCAGGCCTTATTGAGGTAAACAAGTTACATGCGTAGGTGATAATTCGTTCCCCAACGGTTTGTGCATTTTCCGTTTGTTTATGCAAATGTATGCAAAATTATAATTGACACTGACAACATCTAAACAGATAGATATGGAAAGAGTATTAGATAGTCGGTCTTTTATTATACAACAAATGCTTATTACGTAACCTTTAGTGCACATTTCATGTCTAATTATACTACTCCGAAACAAAATCCATCGAAACATTAAAAGAAAAAAAAAGGGCGAAACAATGAGTAATTCTGAAAAATAAGGAGGGCTATGACAAAGTACGAAATGCCGTTCGTTCGTAAGCCTGTCCTGTGTAGTCTCAGTGCGTATCTAGGCAATCGAGGCTTCGTTGCCCCCGCTCTCGAATAACTGACAGGACTTCCAAATTAGCACAATCCCGATCTTTTTTGTCGCTGCCGCATCCTCAGACGTTTCAAATCTTGATTATTGATAACGTACTTCACGGCAGGATCTGCGGAGCACCACCTTTACAGTATTTTTTTTTTTTTTTAATGTTTATTTATCATATTTGGTTCGAAAAATTACACGCGTTGCTTAACATTCGTGCGAAAATAAGAAAGAAAGAAAGAAAGAAAGAGTGAATGAATGAATGAATGAAGGAGAGTAAAATCTAGATTGAAATCACTTCATGTTTATGCTTCTCGGCCTTTAACTGAACCATACACACAAGTAAGCCGCAGTGAGTAACGACGCTCAACCTTTGTTAATATTGTGAGCGGATAAACGTTGGAAATCGGAATTCAAAAAACAAACGACTAACCGCTCTTGTAATGACCTGATTCCGTCGCCATCACTAATCACTCTTGCCCTATACTACATTCGTTTCTATACATGCTTAATTGGTTAGTTTATTGGCTTGCACCTAACCCAACCAATGTAAGTGTGAATGTGATGCACATGTAGGTTGTAAATTGTGTGCGTATGTACATACATATTTCTTTTTCTTTGCTTTTTTTTTTTTTTTTTTTTTTTTTTTTTTTACCGGGAATGAGTAAAAAGAGAAACATGCAAGTGTACATGTCGAATTCCAAGATACAGATAGGTTACATTAACATCTTAATTATCGCCTGTTATATTTGATAATCAACTTCGATTATTGCATATGACTTTAACTTATCATCCATCCTTCGTCTGTATAGATCCATGAGCATGCATACAAAACTTTACGTACAGTACATCCGTCTACCCCTGCATGAACATACTACAACAGAACGTGATACCGGACCCCAGATTCTATCAATCATTTTGTTTCCTTCCCTAGATGCCCACAGCATATAGTGTTTATGACACAACCCACGAAAACGTGCATCCAGATTGTTTGTTTTCATTGATCAAAAAAACCTAAAAGCGGTTATGAGAGTCTACTTGTCATACCAATTTTAAACATAATAAAAAACCGGGGCGCGCAAAATGACGATTACTACGAATTATATTAATGTGGCAAAATTTGTTTCAGTCTTTGTTGCATTTTTTTTCTTCGTATCACGCATGGAACAAACTTGTGCACAAGGATCCCTTTGGCAAACGTCCGCCAAGACCACTCGAAAATTCATGCCGATCGAGAACAATGTTACCTCTTCTTATGATTCCGCTCATAGATGAAAGAACCTATAAGATAGAAGTAAATTTTAAATTGAAGCCTCAAAGGAAACAATTAAAATACTGTAACTGTAGGGTCCCCTTTATTTTGTTTCGGGTTTATTGTTTTTCTTCCTCTTTTGGTTAGTCAACGTTACAAAATTTCTAGAATCATTCCAAATTCATCCAGGAGTTTCGACATTGCGAACCGATTCGTTCTCAGTTCGGCATATACCTTCATCGCCTTTTTTTTTCTTTGAAAAAATTTTCAAATGCCAATATACCATTTTTCATATTATGTAAGGTGTTCTCCAATAACCGAACGCACGTTAATTCAATATAGAGATACACCCTCAAATGTTTCGAATTCTCGTAACTTCGCGTGAAATCCTCATTCGTGCGGCATGAACAACCAATTATTTTATGTTTTGCCTGTATGTTAATTCGTGGTTTAATAAAAGAGAAATCAAGAAAAACAAATTATCATCATTCACTAATGATAAGGCATACCCTCATAATACGCCGATAATCGTGATCCTAAAAAACCTGGTGCATGCAAGATTAATACCGACATAGTTGCCGCCATCACGGTTGTCATTGTGTAGAGAGAAGCTTTGCTGCAATCGTTTGAACTTTGAAGGAATTCCTGCATAACGGAATTACCCAATAGATTGTACGGTCGTTACGCAAAGATTTTATTCAAAATATCAAAATCGATTAGAGAAACATTTTTAAAAAATTTTTTCTATTAAAGATTATATAGATATTTTCTTAAAAAAAAAAAAACCAAATGGAATAATATTTTTTGTAATTTATGTAGAAAAAAATTTCGTACGTACAATTCAATAAATAAATAAACAAATAAAAATTTTGACAATTTTCTTAGATTCTTTAAAAATATTAAAAATATTTATAATAATAATAATAATACTTTTAATAATTTTTTTAATAATTTTCTTGAAAAAAAAAAAAAAACTGGATATTACTAATAGAAAAAATATTTATTACATTTAAACAACATCAAATAAAATAATCTGTTGAAAAAATATCGAATAGAATAAATACAAATGTTTTATCAATTTCTGTATAAAAAATTAAATTATGGTAAGCTTTTTAAAAATTCATTATTGTTTTTTTTTTTTACTTAGCTTATAATTATGTCACTAAGATATATTTTTATTGAAGTATTAAATAAGTATTTGCAATATTACATTGATCTATTATATAATAACCAATTATCATTACATATTTTAGTTAAGGATTATACTACTTAAAAAATATATGAAGTTTACTAAGTTAATTCAAACTAAATAAAACAAAGTTTAAACTAAGTACTCTAAATCAAATTTGAGGAACAATATTTTATTTCTTTAATAAATTGGTACTTAACCTTATAATATATTTATCAAATTATTATAAATTATTTCAAAAAATAATATTTTTAAATTAATTAAAACAAAAAAAGAAAAAAAATAATAATAAATCAAAGTTTTACAAAAGTTTTTATTCAAATAATCAAATTTTTTAAAAAGATATTTATCTAATTAAAATATTCTTTAGCTTCAAACTATTTAACAAACTTATTAATTCATTATTAAATCTACATATTATCTAAAAAACTTTTTATTTTGAGTTCTTAAACTAGAAAATTTTATTTTATATCTTTTATTTATAAGACTTAAACTTATAATCTAATCAAAAAAATAGTATCAATAGTATTTAAACTTTATTTTTTTTTGAACTGTCCTAACTAATGGATATAAATCTTTATTGAATAGTAATAGACTTTTTAATTATATGAGTTATTTATCTAACCTATTTAATCGTATCAATTTTAATTCTATATTTTGATTTGGTCAATTTTACATATTTGATACTATTTTATTAATTATCTTGCTCTGTCCAGACATCTAATGTTCTGAGAATTCACTAGTGGACTTTTATTGATATTAAATGAAGAGCCACATGGTATGTGTTCCTTAGATAGTAATATTGTTATAGATACTGTGATTAATCTTTTATTATGTTAAGTCTTGAAAAGACCAGTTGTATTTTAATTGTGCAAGATCAATGGTATGTAATAATATCCCAATAATTCAATAGTATATCCATGATCAATATATCGTCTTTTATTGTGTCATTATTAACTATTCTTCAAATATGGCCTTTCAGAAGTATTCCTTAATCAAACAAAACCTTGAGACTTCTCTTAAACATATCAACCCCTGCAGTTCTCATTATGATATTAATATTAATTACTAGCTTAAATGCCAGTTATCCTTTTTGACATCCATTGATTTAATGATTGTATAATCTCCTATAGTGTATTCTGGCCTATACTAGTTATCTTTTTGATTGGTATTAATAACTTACATAAGTCTTCTATCTTTTTCAGAAGGTGTTTTTTGAAAAGAGATAAATTTCTTATATATTCATTGGTGATCTCAGATCAATCAGAATCTTTTTTGGCTTGCTTGGTGTTTTCCCATATTCTAAATGACAAGGATCTTTTTTTTTCTGATACTAAAACTAATCAGGACCTATGTGACTTAATTTATTACACTGTGATTAGACAGTGAGTTTCTATAGATTGATTATGTACAAGTGTACATATGACTAAATAATATATATCTTGTACAATATAACCCATATTGTGAAAACTATTCTTAAGTGAAATTAAACTGGTATCTCATGAATAGTGACTTGAGAGTATACCTACTGCAATCAAGCA